AGCGCAGTGCCCTTAAAGCACACTAAATCCACACTATCTCGAATACCGCTCCGGAGCGCTATTCGAGGCTTAGTGTATCCCATCATGCATCATGTTCTGGAAATAAATCGTGAGACTTTTTGCCGAGATCTCGCGAGAGGTCACGGAAACCTTTCCAATGCAAGTTAAATATTAATATAATAATTCGATATTACATATAATTTGGTAGAAAAACAGTGTTTTTACGTTTTATTGGTGCAAAGATGAGTAGTGGTGATATTTATTTTGTACAACATTTGCAACTGCTTTTTATCACTTAATTAGAAGCACCACAAATTAAAATTGTCATGTTATAGGGACTACTGAACAGAAATTTAGAAGTTGCTTTTAAAATGCAAATTATTTAAAATTAAAATAAAGCTATGTAAACACTTGCATTTTTACAACACTACAAGTGTGTCCCATCAGGTAATGAAAAGTTCTACACACACTTGTGGTCTTCATGCTCACTTGAACACTTGGGCCAAATACAGGAAATACGTCATATAAGTAGTCAAGTGATCAAGTGCAAAGACCGCAAGTGTGGGTATTTGGACAAGGCAACAGCCTAGGTTCACTTTGGGACACCGAGTATGACGTAACACTTCCTCTTTCGCAGAAGTCACGTGACTTGGGCAGTTTGCCACAAGCCCATCATAACTACCCTGAATCACTGCTGTCATTCACACTGGATGCGGCCAGACGTGACATCAGTATGAGGAACAATCCCTTCCTTTTTTGGCTTTTATTGTTCGCGGATGGTGAGTCACATTTATTTTTTTTAATGATTTTATTAATACTTTCGGTTTCAAAACCGAAAACAGAAATTGTGCATTTGCTGTTATCTTCTTATATAGTACTTATCTCCAATGTTTCTTAACATACAGACCTTTAATTTTATAAGTAGATATGATCAATCACATAGTGAATAATGACAAATAAATGCATCATGGTATTTTGGGGATAAATTGGTCGCGCGTGTGTGGTTTCTGTAGTAATCACTAGAGGGCGTTTTATTAATATTTTGCGCATCTCTCTATTTTACATGAACACTGACACACACAAAATCGTTAAAGCTATTGTTTTTTTTATTGTTTTTTTTAATTATTATTATTATTCAGGTGGAAATATAAAACACGCATTTGCTATAAACCACCATCAAACTCGTAATTATCACTGTTAGACTCAAAAGTAGAACTAGTGCTTGTGTTACAACCTGCTCTTCTAACAGTAGGTGGGTTGGGTTTGAATAATACATTTAACTTCTTCAGAATAATTCGGTCACCCTCAACCCCAGCCCTATTTCATTTAAAAAGATCTTTATTCATTAAGGTAAGCAGGAACATTTTAATCCAAACAGCAATTTAAAACCAATAAATACAAATACACATTTCAGTCTCACAGTTAGGTCAGTGTAGCCCATGTGAAATGCTGGTCATTCATAACATTCTTTCATCTGTCACAACATCCATTAACCAGGGGTGTGGACTCGAGTCACGAGACTCGACTCGGACTCGAGTCCCAAATTTGATGACTTGCGACTCGACTCGACATAATTAAAGAAG